TTTTTTTTTCTGTCGGTGTAATGTCCCAGTGAGTGTTGCATAAACACTATCCTTATTTCAGTGCCGCGGTCTGAATCAGAATTAGATTTGCTGTTATTATTGCCATTGTAAGTAACAGGAAGTTACAAACTAGGAATTTGCTTTGGTATTGGGTGCAAACAAGTTACACAAATATGAAAAATAGATGTAAAATCATCCATAAAACAATCTTGATTTCTAAACAAGTCTGTAGTCATTAGTCAGACGTACATAATTGTGTGTTGTATATTTTGTATATATTGTTTTGTGTCTGTGTGATTAGAGGTGTTGCATTTTACCTGTATTTTATTAATTAGGCCATTCATTCATTCTCTTTATCAATTCTCTGTACAGTGTAAACCTGCTGACACGTTGCCTCTGCCCCGGGGACTACGGATGAAAATTAGCTTGTAGCTATATCCGGTCTGAACAATACATTTATTGTGCAATGTCCCTGTCAAATAAACAAAACAAAAAAATAAATCAAATCAAATCAAAAACAAATATAAAAGTGAGGTGTCTAAAATGACAAACATTTATAAAAATTAGGGCCGGGACTTAAACGCGTTAATTATGATTAATTCATGCCACAAAAATTATTGAGCTAAAAAAATGTACGCATTTTAATCGCATGTGTTTTTTCCACCGCGGAATGTTCCTCACTGGAGGATATGTTTCAGACGGATTGATTATATTGGCGCACCAACTCCGTGACTTTTCTTGTTCAAAAGTACATTATAACAAGCATAGACCAATTTTAGCGATCTGAGTAGTGAGTGAGTTAGAGACGGGAAAGAGCGCTGTGTATGGAGCTATGGACTCTGTGTGTGAGGAGGAGGAGCAGCGACTCCTCGGAGAAGGAGGAGGATGTGAAGGAGGAGCAGCAGCGACGCAGGTGTGTGAGCTGCTATTGCTGATGTTTTAGTTCGAATGCACGCATCAAAACGTATTATAAGCTTTAGTGCTCACTTAATTACAAAAATTATATTCGAAGTTTGTTTGTTTAATAATTTAAACATTTGAATATATTTGAATGTTGAATTATAATTTATTAAATGGCTCCTAACATTATTCAGCAAGGCAAGGCAAGGCAAGGCAAGGCAAGGCAAGGCAAGGCAAGGCAAGGCAAGGCAAGGCAAGTTTATTTATATAGCACAATTCATACACAAGGCAATTCAAAGTGCTGAACAAAACAAGAAAGCATTAAAATCATAAATAATCACAGAACATTAAAAAGAAAGATACAAATATAAAATCCCTCAGTTGTATGCACAGCTAAACAGAACTGTCTTTAACCTGGCTTTAAACATTGTCAGAGAGGAGGCCTGTCTCACATCTCCAGGAAGACTGTTCCAGATTTTAGCAGCATGAATCTGAAAAGCAGCCTCCCCATGTTTAGTTCTGACTCTGGGCACTAACAGGAGTCCAGTCCCTGTGCTCCTCAGAGTCCGGGCTGGTTCATATGGGACTAACATGTCACTAAATATATTTTGGTGCGAGGCCATGGAGAGACTTGTACACAAGCAGAGCTGTTTTAAAGTCTATTCTCTGAGCCACAGGAAGCCAGTGCAGAGACCTGAGGACTGGACTAATGTGGTCGTACTTCCTGGTTCTTGTCAGGACTCGAGCTGCTGCATTTTGAATGTACTGCAGCTGTTTTACAGCCTGTTTGGACAGACCTGTGAGCAGGCCATTGCAGTAGTCTAACCTACTGGAGACAAATGCATGGATAAGAATCTCCAAGTCTGCTTTAGACACTATGTTTTTGATCCTGGCAATGTTTTTTAGATGGTAAAAAGCTGCTGATGTTACTGATTTGATGTGGCTATTAAAATTTAAGTCTGAGTCCAGTATTACCCCTAGATTTCTGACCTTGTTTGAAGGTTTTAGGGAGAGAGACTGTAGGTGACAGATGACGCTCTCTCTTTGTTTCTGGGGACCAAAGACAATCATTTCAGTTTTGTCTGTGTTTAGCTGAAGGAAGTTGTTTTGCATCCACTCACTGATCTGTTGGATACAGTGAAGGAGTGAGTCCACTGGTCCATGTTCTCCTGCAGTCAGTGAGACATAGATCTGAGTGTCGTCTGCATAGTTATGATAGGAAACTTCGTTTCTGCGTATTAACTGACCTAACGGCAGCATGTAGAGATTGAACAGAAGAGGTCCCAGGATCGACCCCTGTGGTACTCCACAGGTCAGGGCCATATGATCTGAGACACAGTTTCCAATCTCCACAAAGTACTTCCTGTCCTCAAGGTAAGACCTAAACCAACTTAGGGCGGTGCCAGCGACTCCAACCCAGTCCTCTAGTCTCTGTAAGAGGATCTCATGGTCGACGGTGTCAAAGGCAGCACTTAGATCTAACAAGATTAAGATTGAGACTTTGCCTGCGTCAGTGTTCAGCCGGATATCGTTTGTAACCTTGACGAGAGCAGTCTCAGTGCTGTGGTGGGGTCTAAAGCCGGACTGAAACATATCAAATGAGTTGTTGATTATAAGAAATCTAGTAAGCTGTAGGTAGACAACTTTTTCAAGGACTTTCCCCATAAATGGCAGATTTGAGATGGGACGATAGTTGTTAAGTACCGTAGCATCGAGACTGCTCTTTTTTAGCAGGGGCCTGATGACTGCAGTTTTCAGGGCCTTTGGGAATATTCCAGAATGAAGGGACATGTTTACTATCTGTGTGAGTGAAGGTAACAGACTGCTCAGAACAGACTTCAGAAATCTAGTGGGTAGTACATCCAAGCTGCATGTGGAGGAGCTCAAACTGGAGATTATCTCTTGGACAGTTTTATCATTTACAGGTGCAAAGTGAGTTAGCTCAGAGAGCCTTTCTGGCTGTTGGATGGTTATCTGTGGATTGGAGACAATGGCGTTTTTGATGCCTTGAACCTTGTCATTGAAAAAATTTGCAAACTCATTGCATTTACGTTTGGAAGTAAGCTCTAATGGCATTTGAACAGGGGGGTTTGTTAATCTATTAACTGTTGAAAACAGAACACGCAGATTGTTGCTGCAGCCTTCAATCATTTCAGAAAAATACCTTTCTCTCGTACTACGTAGCACCCGGTTAAACTCGCACAACTTATCTTTGAAGATCTCGTAATCAACCTGGAGGTTGGACTTGCGCCACTTCCGCTCGGCCCTCCGGCACTTTCTCTTTTGTGCCCTGACCGAGTCTGCTTTAGCCCACGGCGCCTTCTGCTTATTTTTCACTATTTTAACCTTCACAGGGGCAACGGTATCCAGAACATTCAAAACACTAGAGGTGACAGAGTTAAACAGTTCATCTACAGTAGAATACGATGCATTCTCAAAGTTTATCATTCCCATAAATAGTTCACTCGTATTTTCATTTATGTGTCTTCTTCGTACAGTTGCAGAGTCCACTGGTGGTTTGTTAGTGAAACACATGTCAAAAAAAACACAGAAATGATCCGAAAGAGCAACATCGACCACGTTTACATTTGAAATATTCACCCCCTTAGTAACTAACAGATCTAGAGTGTGCCCTCTGCTGTGGGTGGGGCCACTTACGTGCTGAGTGAGATCAAAGGATTCAAGTACAGAACTCAGCTCATTTGCATTTCTGTCATCAACATTATCCACATGAATATTAAAATCACCTGTAATAACCAAACTATCAAAATCTGTGCATACAACTGAAAGCAACTCGGTAAAATTATCAATAAAACTGTGACATGACTGCGGTGGCTTGTATAGGACAATGAAGAGTATTGGAGGAGATTGTTTTTGTTGTATTTTAAAAGACACATATTCAAAAGACGAAAACTTCCCAAGAGACATTCTATGGGAGACAAAGTGGTCTCTGAAAATGGCAGCTAAGCCTCCTCCTTTTTTGTTTTCCCGTATTTCAGATTCAAACTTGAAATTTGGTGGTGATGCTTCTATTAAAACTGCATTTCCTGAATTTTGGTCAAGCCAAGTTTCAGCCATGAACATAAGATCAAGATTATGAGAACAAATAAAATTATTGATTAAAAAAGACTTGTTACAAAGAGATCTGACATTAAGCGTAGCAAGTTTCAAAGTTTCAGTATCAGCGGTTGTGGTCGGCTGATTCTTACACGGAACAAGAATTAGATTTTCCAGATTAGACTTATTAACTCCAGATGTCTTTCTGTAATGTATTCTTTGTGTTATCACTACGGGAATGGCACAGGTGGCTTCATGACAGGGCCCCAGCCGGGTCTCTCCTCTAACTAGACTGCCAGTGGCTGCGAAGCAGAGACCCTGTGCATCCTAGTGTTTAGAGAAAAGAGGGGAAGGGGAAGGCGGGGGAGGAGGATGGAGAGGTGGGTGGCTTTTGGGTGTTGAACGAGGGGGGCAGGGAGGTGGAGGGGTTTTTGGTGATGGGTTAGGGCCGGGGTGGGCTGAGGCAGAGGTTTTGGGTGCTGAACGAGGGGGAAGTGGGGGTGGAATGGTCATGAGGTTAGGGGAGGGACTGGCTGAGGTGGTTTTTGTAGGTGAATTGGAAACCCTAGGTGGTTTTGGAGGTACATATGGGGAGTGGTTTAGCATGTTGGACAGGACTCTAGATCTAGCTAATATGGGTGTGAGAGGAATAGTCTTCATCGCCGATTTTATTAGCCCTGCAGAGTGTTCAGGTAGGTCTAACAGTGAAGGCGGGGATGAAAAACAAAGGGACGTGTCCCCATTCTCTCTTGATGGAGTGGACGTGGCAGGGGGGACCCAAGACAGGTCCATGGGAGGTGGCGAGGGAGTCTTTGATGGAGGGGCAGGTGGTTGAGGAAACCCCAGCACAGGCCTGTCTGCTGTAGCCTGGGGTGAGGATGGGGGCTTCAGAGGCGCTGTAGAAGAAGAAGGCGTGGCTGCTTTGGAGCAGGCTAGGGATGAGGATGTTGGTGGTGGTGGTGGTCGTGCTGCTGGTGCTGCTACTGGTGATGATGCAGCTGCTTCTGATGACAGTGGAGGTGTTGAGATCCTTTGAGGCGGTGATGGTGTTGAGATCCTTCGAGGTGGTGGTGGTGTTGAGATCCTTTGAGGTGGTGGTGGTGTTGAGATCCTTCGAGGTGGTGGTGGTGTTGAGATCCTTCGAGGTGGTGGTGGTGTTGAGATCCTTCGATGTGGTGGAGGTGTTGAGATCCTTCGAGGTGGTGGAGGTGCAGAGACTTTTAGAGTCGGCTTCCTCCTTTTCGATGGCTGCACGAGCTGCGCAGGCTGAGGTCTCAGGGCAAAAGAAAGGTTATCCATCAACACTTTTACTCCGTAAGTGTTCAGATGTGGCCCTTTCCCTTCAAAAAGCTCATGCCTATTCCAGAACAGATTAAAATTCTCAATGAAGGCAAGTCCTCTGCGTGAACATTCGTTGAGTAGGAAAGTATTTAGCTGATACAGACGACTGAATTTCATTTGCTTCCCGTCCACATTTGGTAGTGGGCCACTGATAACGATTTTTACATCCATTTTAGCAAGGTCGTCCAATAAGAGAGAGTAATCCCGTTTCAACTTTTCACTTGTGTTGTCATAGACGTCTACTGCCCCCACGTGGATCAACAATCTTTTTACCCCGCCGGTCTCAGACAGAAGCCTCGGAGCCAGCCGCCTTATCTCATCCACTTTGGCAGAGTGTACTGAGTGAACCTTGAGATTACGCATGTTTACGCGTCTTATCGCCGAATCGCCGATAAAGAGCGACTCAGCTGCATTTGACCTTGACTGAGACTGAGACTGGGACTGAGAGACTACTGCTGATTCATCTTCCAAAAGTGGGGAAAAGCGGTTTCTTGTAATTAAAGATTTTTGCTGTGGCATTATGACACTCTTGTTATCATTAGCTTTGCCTTGTTTGGGCTTGGCACCATATGTGTTCCAACAATTGTCTCTGTTGATTTTGGGAAATGAAATAGCGTCATCATAACTTACGTTTTGTCCATTTGGTCCATTTCCCTTCATTGGTATTGTTGTGTTCAGCCCCAATTCTGATTCAAGCACAAACATTCGGTCTTGAAGAAGTTTTAGCTCCTGTTTGAGTGAAAAACAGCCGTCGCAAAGTTTTGTTCTGTTTTCCCGTCCTCCCGACATGCTGTAAGTTAGGTAAATTCCACAAGTCTTGTGTTGAAGTTTGTAAAAAGGAGTAATCCGTGTTTTGTGGAATAAAAATGTAAGCAAAAATGATTAAAGGAGATAAAAAAGCAGAAAGCGAGGAGCAGCAAGAGAATGCGACTGCTCTGTCCAGAGGTCGCACACACAGTCCAGCGAGTACAACGGGCTTTCAGCAGGCGCTTGTTAATACTTGTGTCTGTGCAGACAGGCTAGCCATAACCGTTCACATGAAACAGACATTTTAGGACACATTTGAAGAGGATCTGATTATGGATTTAGGTTGGGTATATAAATGGGTAACTCACCGCCGATGGTCAGAATTCTTTGTTCAGTTTTCATGTAGTTCCAGAGAGTTTTTGAACTAGCTAGCTTAGCTGTTATCCGCCTAGCACAATAGATCCATGGCCTAGCCACATCACAGCGAAACTTTTGGGAGCTATTTATTATATTTGCAGTCATTAAATACATTTCGAAAATTAAAGGCTGTCTAATATTCGTTCGAATATTTATACAGTACCCCCTTGAACCTTTCAACATTTCGCCACATTTCAGGCTTCAAACATAAAGATATAAAAATTAATTTTTTTGTCAAGAATCAACAACAAGTGGGACACAATTGTGAAGTGGAACGAAATTTATTGGATAATTTAAACTTTTTTAACAAAGACAAAACTGAAAAGTGGGGCGTGCAATATTATTCGGCCCCCTTGCGCCAATACTTTGTAGCGCCACCTTTTGCTGCAATTACAGCTGCAAGTCGCTTGGGGTATGTCTCTATCAGTTTTGCACATCGAGAGACTGGAATTCTTGCCCATTCTTCCTTGCAAAACAGCTCGAGCTCACTTAGGTTGGATGGAGAGCGTTTGTGAACAGCAGTCTTCAGCTCTTTCCACAGATTTTCGATTGGATTCAGGTCTGGACTTTGACTTGGCCATTCTAACACCTGGATACGTCTATTTGTGAACCATTCCATTGTAGATTTGGCTTTATGTTTTGGATCATTGTCCTGTTGGAAGATAAATCTCCGTCCCAGTCTCAGGTCTTTTGCAGACTCCAACAGGTTTTCTTCCAGAATGGTCCTGTATTTGGCTCCATCCATCTTCCCATCAATTTTAGCCATCTTCCCTGTCCCTGCTGAAGAAAAGCAGGCCCAAACCATGATGCTGCCACCACCATGTTTGACAGTGGGGATGGTGTGTTCAGGGTGATGAGCTGTGTTGCTTTTACGCCAAACATATCGTTTTGCATTGTGGCCAAAAAGTTCGATTTAGGTTTCATCTGACCAGAGCACCTTCTTCCACATGTTTGGTGTGTCTCCCAGGTGGCTTGTGGCAAACTTTAAAAGAGACTTTTTATGGATATCTTTGAGAAATGGCTTTCTTCTTGCCACTCTTCCATAAAGGCCAGATTTGTGCAGTGCACGACTGATTGTTGTCCTATGGACAGACTCTCCCACCTCAGCTGTAGTTATCTGCAGTTCATCCAGAGTGATCATGGGCCTCTTGGCTGCATCTCTGATCAGTCTTCTCCTTGTTTGAGATGAAAGTTTGGAGGGACGGCCAGGTCTTGGTAGATTTGCAGTGGTCTGATACTCTTTACCTTTCAGTATAATTGCTTGCACAGTGCTCCTTGAGATGTTTAAAGCTTGGGAAATCTTTTTGTATCCAAATCCGGCTTTAAACTTCTCCACAACAGTATCTCGGACCTGCCTGGTGTGTTCCTTTGTCTTCATGGTTCTCTCTGCGCTTTAAACAGAACCCTGAGACTATCAAAGAGCTGTGCATTTATACAGAGACTTGATTACACACAGGTGCATTCTATTTATCATCATCAGTCATCTAGGACAACATTGGATCATTCAAAGATCCTCACTGAACTTCTGGAGTGAGTTTGCTGCACTGAAAGTAAAGGGGCCGAATAATATTGCACGCCCCACTTTTCAGTTTTTTATTTGTTAAAAAAGTTTAAATTATCCAATAAATTTCGTTCCACTTCACGATTGTGTCCCACTTGTTGTTGATTCAAAAAATTTAAATGTTATATCTTTATGTTTGAAGCCTGAAATGTGGCGAAATGTTGAAAGGTTCAAGGGGGCCGAATACTTTCGCAAGGCATTGTATATATATATATATATATATATATATATATATTTTTTTTTTTTTTTATATATATTCGAATTGTATTCGAAAATCGGATTTCGAAGTCAAAGCCCTAGTGCTCACTGTTAGTGCAGTGGATTTTGGTTATAAAAAGCGTATGTTGTTGTCAGAGAGTGTGGAGGCGATAACAGATAAGTTATTTGATGGAAAGAAGTCTGTCTGCTCCCCTTATCATCCTCAATGAAAATGTTTTGCTTAAGCTTATGTATTCAGTCATTACTCAATGGTAAATTAAAATCCATGTGAGAAAAAAATTACTTCTTTCTGTTCTCAGGACAAATATTTATATACGATTAAAATGCGATTAATTAATCACAAAGCCTCTAATTAATTAGATGAATTTTTTTAATCGAGTCCCAGCCCTAATAAAAATAAATAATTCTAAAATAAAGTTATGATGTATTTGGCCACCTACAGAGTTACTCTCCGTGAAAGGAGTAACCATTGATAAATATACTCAGACCTGAAGTGCTTGTTATACTGTAGGTCCTAATATCTCACTCAGACCTGATGTGTGTGTTGTGGGTGCTAATATCTAACTCAGACTTGATGTTTGTGTTGTAGGTCCTAATATCTCACTCAGACTTGATATGTGTGTTGTGGGTCCTAATATCTCACTCAGACCTGATGTGTGTGTTGTTGGTCCTAAGATCTCACTCAGACCTGATGTGTGTGTTGTAGGTCCTAATATCTCACTCAGACCTGATATGTGTGTTGTGGGTCCTAAGATCTCACTCAGACCTGATGTGTGTGTTGTAGGTCCTAATATCTCACTCAGACCTGATGTGTGTGTTGTAGGTCCTAAGATCTCACTCAGACCTGATGTGTGTGTTTCGCGTCCGGTGTAAACGCGGCGTATTATGGTTAGCGCGCTAACCTTGAGGTTGTGCACAAAGACTGTCCACAACGTTCAGCTTCGTGTCCAGGTTTAGGGTGATGTGTCCAGTGAGTTTGAGTGTTTGAACAAAGCAAAGAGGAGAAAACCTTTTGGAATAAGGTTTAGTTTTAGGAAAAACCTTCATGTAATAATGTTTTTTGTGTGTCTTTGTCTCTCTCTGGTCTCTTTATGGTCTCTCTCTGGTCTCTCTCTGGTGTCTCTCTGGTCTCTATCAGAGTCAAAACTATTTACTTAAACCCAGGTCAAAATACTGATAAACTCTTTGATTTGTGAGGACTTTGGGAACTGTGAGAAACCTACTGAGCCAAAGATCAGTAAAGATATAACGTTATTCTTATAAAAACATTTAATTTACTGATTCATATTTATTGTTTACTATAATGCTTAGGATAGCACAAGTTTGTGATATATTTAAATTTGTATTGTTTTATGCTTGATATAAAGGATTCATTCATTCATAGATAATCAAAACGAGGATGTACTCTGGAGTGGGGATGTAAAAAACTACTGTATGAATTCTCATGACCGACCACCGAGCCTCATTAGCCAGTTGAAACCGGTTAACCGTGTAGTTTAAAATATTCCATGTTCAACATTACATTATTTTGTTGATGATACTTTGCTCATTTGTCTAGATTCGGATTAAATCAATGAAACGTGATGTTTGTCCAGACCTCTGACTGCGCTGAGAGCTGTTGAATGTCACAGCAGAACCTGCAGGGGGCGCTCACGTGAATGTCTTGCACACAGACTGTCCTGCGAGCGCTCCAGTGGTGGCAGAGTTCTCAAGTCATGCACCGGCAACAAAAGAAATATTGTTATTAGTTTATTACAGAAACAACCATGTGATTTACAATTATACAGAATAAAAACAACAGGAAATTTTAAAAGAGAAGTCCCTCTGTGCACATGCCTGACGACGGTTGCTATGTTGTCATGGCAACCCAGCTTGTCTTTATGAAGTCATTCTAGAATGTTGGCTAAGGTTAAGTCAGGAAGATGTAAACAGGTTAAGTGAATATCTGTCCGACAACAGAGTATCATTTTAGCACATTATTTTAGCACACAAACAGAAGCAAACACAGACAACATGCAACATCCCAGTGAAGTCCACAAGACCGACCTGTCCCTCCTGTACGAACTGGCATTACTGCACCACCTGCAGCTGCAGTTTAATGAGATGGGAAAAGAAGGCCCTTGCCATGCACCGACTTTCCACATAGAGCTGAGAGTAGGGGACCTGGTGGGATGTGGTTCAGGCCCCACCAAACAAAAGGCCAAGCTAGGTGCAGCTAAGCTGGTTTTGCATCAGCTGAGGAAGCGTCCTTTGCCAGAGGACGTGACTCCATACTGGTCCAAACCGCACATGGAGCTGGTGGACCCCTCACAGCGGGTCTACTTCTTCTACAAGAAAGACCCCATCAGTGCCTTGGCAGAGATCCTGATGGTGCGGAAGCAGAGGCCGGCCGAGTACAGGGTGGTCGGCTTCCAACACCGTGGCTACCGTGCGCCCGAGTTCTGTATGGAGGTCAGAGTGGACCAGAGGACATGTCAAGGCCTGGGTCCAAACAAGAAGACGGCCAAGCTGGAGGCAGCAGAGGCGATGCTGCACATGATGGGGTTCAAAGAGCAGATGGAGCTGGACAACCCTAAGCTGTCCCCCTCCGAGGAGCTCCTCTTCCAGCAGAGGGTCTTCAAACTGCGAGAGACAGAGAAGCTCGAGGCCCGGCAGAAGTTTAAAGATACTGTCGCACCAGCCCAGATGGACACACGTGCATCCCAGAGAGAGGGGTCCCCACCGGCCCGAGAGGAGACCATCCCAGAGAAGCCTGTCTCTGAGAAGCAAATCCTAGAGGGGCCCAGACTAGAGCAATCAATCCCAGAGAGCCCATTCCTAGAGGAACCTGTTTTTGAGGGTCGTGTCCCAGAGGAGCCTATCCCAGAGGTACCTTTGCCCGAGGAGCCAATCAAAGAGGTGCCTTTCTCCAAGGAGCCAATCAAAGGGGAGCCAATCACAGCGGTGCCTGTCTCAGAGGAGCCAATCTCAGAGGTGCCTGTCCCAGAGGAGCCAATTACAGCGATGCCTGTCCCCGAGGAGCCAATCACAGTGGTGCCTGTCCCCGAGGAGCCAATCACTGAGGTGCCTGTCCCCGAGGAGCCAATCACAGAGGTACTTGTCCGAAACGAGCCAATCACAGAGGTGCCTGTCCAAAACGAGCCATTCACAGAGATGCCTGTTCCAGAGGAGCCAATCACAGAGGTGCCTGTCCCCGTGGAGCCAATCACAGAGGTGCCTTTCCCCGAGGAGCCAATCATAGAGAATCCAATCACAGAGGAACCAATCATAGAGAATCCAAACAAAGAGGTGCCTTTCTCTGGGGATCTAGTCCAGACCCTCTTCGCTGTGGCTCAGACTCCTCCGGAGCAGGACAGTCCAGTAGATCTTCCTTCGTCCCTGGACCTCATCTCTTCTCTTGACCTTGAGAGTCTGGTGCAGGACCGTAACACACCTGAGGTTATCCAAGAACCTCCTGCTCCAGAAACCCCAAACCTCCAGGACTTCAACAGTCCTTCAGAAACTGTCAGTCCACCAGAGAAAACCGTCCCACCAGAGACAGAGGACGTCAGCTCCGATGCCGCTCACTTCATGGTTTCAACGATGATCCAAAAGCTCTTGGACAAATCCCCCGTGTCCCTGTACATTAGGGAGCAAGGAAAAGTTATTTTGCGACTGCGTGATGTGGAGCGAAGAGTCTCCATGTCCCAAGGAACAGACCTGAAGACCAAAGACCTCAAAACTAAAGCTAATGAGGCGGCTAGAAGTCTCCGGGAAGAGCTGGGACCCATCTCCTCCGCCCTGCTCCAGAGTGACTGGTTTGTGGAGGCAGCGGTGAGAAATCTGAACATCCAGCTCGAAAACTTCGGTGATGAGGACGGAGGCCGACGACCAGGATGCTTCTTCTCTCGAGTTTTTAAAATGTTCAGGATCAGGAAGAGCAGAGTGTCGCCTGGTCCTCTGAGAGCATACATCAGATCAGCGTGTTAAGAGCACATCACTCCTGCCTGAGGTCACCTTCACTCACTGTAGGAGGTCACCGCGGAAGGGCTGGGAACATAAATAACATGATTAAGACAAAAAACAACAAGCATGAAAAACGACAAAAAAAAAATCATAAAATTCAACCAAAAAGGGAAAAAAGAAAATAAACATTGACATTTGAAAATTAAATTGGGAAAAACAAGGCTCATTTAAATATCGCATGGCATAATGTCATATTTAAATGTATAATGGCATATTGTAAAAAATGCAGATTTTTATGATATGCCTTGAGCTTTGTTGAACTAAAAAATAAAAAAATTGAATGGGGGGGGGGTTAAATATGAAAAAAAATAAAAAAATATTACAAATTAAAAATGTGTGTCCTGTTTATTATGTAGGTGAGTGTGCGTGTGTGTGTGTGTGTGAGTGAATGGTTGGTGGTGGTTTCCTTCTGTCAGTGTCTTTGAATATCCTAAAAAGCACTATATCAAACCAAAATACATTATTTAAGTTAAGACAGGACTTGGGATGATTATGGTTGAAGTCAAATCTGTGAATTAATCGATTTGATTAAATTATCCATAGAAACGTTATATATTGGCATTTAGAAAACACAACTTGAAGCAACTTCTTTGACATAATTTATTCAGTTTTCTGCCACGGTGTAAAATCATTATTCTGTCCAGTAAATATAACATAAGGCATGTCTTCAATAATAAGTTGACTAGATGTCATGTATGCAGAAATGTGTTCAAATGAGCATTCTCATCTGAGCCTTTTGGCAATGTTCACTACAGAATGTTTTTAATCTTTAAAATCTCGACACTCGGCTGTTCACGGTTGTGTAGAAGAATGTTGAATCTTTATATAACAATCTTATCAAAATACATACAAACTTCTAATTCTAAATTTTAATTATGTTAAATTTTCAGTAAAACTACCAAAATGGTTTGTTTTCAATTGAACAGAGTAAACTCAGAATGTTGTTCCTAAACATTCATTGTAATTTTCTCCATTATGAGATCAATAAAGTTTATCCATAACCTAATAACGTCCATCCAACTATAGTTCCTCGCTGTCACAACACTTTGGTTCCATTTCTAGTTTTTATATATTTTTTAGACAGAAAATTGAAAAATAGAGTACCACTTTATCTCAACCAATCAGGTCTCATGGCACAATGCATAATACATAGTGACTCACAGGACTTTTTGTTTCAAGTATGCAAAATATAAAATATGTTTTCCATGAAGCTCAGATTGCTGAGGTCTGATTTGTTTTTGAGAGTTTTACTTTTTCAAGACTTTATTTTGGGACAAACATGTTTTATTTATGAAGCAAAAAAAACAAATCTCTTCCAATATAGGGACTTCCTCATCCCAGACCATAATGAGATAAATTAGTTCTAAAGGTGCTGGATCATGACTTTTTGCCGCCTGTTGCATCAGGTCATGACTGACACCTGGTTCCTCTAACAAACTGTCACCACGGCGACACATTCAACTAGGAATCCAGGAAGTAAACTTGAATAAATATTGAATGAGTGGAGGTGGTGGTGACAGATGCTGCGGCTTCAGACAGAATATCAGCAAAAATCTTCAACCATTTGACTTTGAAATAATAGTTTGACAAAGGTGTAGCAGCAGCACCAGCAACAGCGACACCAGCAACAGCCGCCGCCGCCACGCCTTCGATGTTGTAGTCGTGAATACACATGTGACAGAGTTACATAGTTTCACCTATTACCCCGACCCTGATTTTTTTAGCAGCCAAATTTACAGCAGACAAATTTCAAGTGGGCCTCCTTGAAAAATGTCCCATAGACATCAATGTAAACTAAAACAGCTCGACCTCGGCTGACAGAGAACCTACGGCTTTCACAAAGGTCAGAGTTTGTGGGGAATTTAGTGTCCCTTGTCATCCTGAACTTGTTCTTTTCGTGAAATTGTTCGGTTTTCAATAAATCACGTTTATTTGGTCCAAAGCATCATGGGAGCTCGTCCAATGCGGTCGGTCCCCATGTATGTCCCGTGCGCTACCGAGCACAAGCCACTTATTTGAGTAGGGCGCCATTTTGGATCACCGGGTCTTGGATAGGACACATCTGGGGACACCGGGTGTAACAGAGGAGCAGCTGAAAAAACATTGCGACATTTGAAGTGTCTGCGTGCCCAAAAAATCGCTTATAAATTTGATCCATTATTATGTATTTAGAATGGGCTCATAACTCAAATTTCACCAATTACTCATTTGAATCTATTTCTTAGAGAGGATTCACGATACACGGGTAGTTCTAGTATTTGAAACAGGAGGTAACTTATGCAATTAGTACTCGATGGACAATACCAGTTAGATTGAAAGAAAGTCAATATCTCCCATTCATTTGATATAAGCCGCAGATCTTCCTGTGGTAATGAAACACAAAACCAACAGCTAATGGAGAAAACAAAACCAATAGAGACTTGATTTGATGCGTGTTTTTAAGGCACTGTCATCTTGTGATGGACACTCACAATAGCATTTTCACCTTAACTGTTAGCTTCCACTACACAAAGTCAAAATGATAGGTCCAAAGATTCCGCTCTGACTGCAGTCCAACCACAATGTAAAAACAATATGGAAACAATACGGCTTTATAGGCTACAGGGTTCTAAGAAATTGAAAAAAGTAGTGTCTGGTAATTATGGTGATCATATGAATTCAATTACATTTTAATCTGGGTTCATATTTGTAAACTATTTAACTAATAAGCATTCAGTATGTAATTGTTTGATAAAAAAGCACAAAAAGGTTTCCTGTTTCTGACTTTGACCTGCGTCATTGAGGCGACTTGGTTCTGTTATCCTTCACAGCTAAAAGTCTCTCCTCCACTGTATCATCAGAGTTCCTGGACAGCTTTGTAGCCTAAATTTATTCAAAACGGTGTCATTCAAAGTGCATGAATTTGACGCAACACCACAGCAATCATTCCTCATTGACATTCACGCAGCGCTACGTCTCTGCTCCTCACATATCTGACAGTTCAGCCATATTTCTGTACACAAGCCATTATACTGTATAACCCAGGGGACACATTTCACCGTCGCACTGTCCACAGCATTTATCAAAAAGCTTTTTACACATGCACCTCCAAGCAAGCGGCAATCTCAGCAAATATTTGGCTTTGAAGATAAAACAGCACACATTTTTTGCCATTTCTTGGACATAAAGTGAAAAAATGCTGCAAAAAAACAGCAGTAAGATTACCAGATTTTTTAGCCCGTGTATTTCTATGGGTGGTGATTAGTTTACTGTGAACTAATCACCACAGTAAAAACAGGCTACAAATCTTTTGAACAACATAATGTTCCTGCCATGCAAACGGTTAGCAAACATTTTTGTACCATGCTTTTGGAGTGCACATGCGGCGTCGCCAGGGACAATATTAACCATCACATGACATTGCAGTGTTTTGTTTCAGAAATACATTTTGTTTGTCCCAAAATAAAAACTTAAGTAACATTTTCTTAACAAATCAGATGAAAACATGCACATTAGAAAACCCTATATAATTATCTGTTACATACTGAGAGCTGGTTCTTTTTTAATGAAAAAAAAACCTGATTGAAAGATGGGACAAAAGACAAAAATACATGCATGTGACAAATGAAGCTTAAGAGTCACTTCAGACTGAGACTATCCTAGCACGCTTTCACACCAGACTGGCCCCTTCCTTCCTTGCCAATCAAGCCAGCGGTTAAAAGCAGGAAACTGCACAACAAGCTCCGCCCACCTCCTCCCCACCACGAATTACTGTAAATGGATTTGAAAGGTTTGAAGGTAGTCTAGCTTTAATTCCTAGAACATGTGTCTTTCCTACACTGTTCTTATTTTTTGTATTTAATTTGAATAAAACAGAGCATAAATCTTTGCATCAAGTAAAGTAATAATGAATGTATTTATATTACCATTGGTCATTGGTGGGCTCGGGTGCGATTCCCAGTTCATCTTCAATTTTCTTTTGTGGCTATTTTTCAACAAATAGGCTGCTGGTTTTCCACCACAACAGAGAGAGAAATCTGGAATAGTGTATCAGGTCATCCAGGCCAGTGGTATTCAGCAAGAAGCAGCAGATCTTGGAGGCTGAAAAAATAACTTTATTTCTCCTTTTTTTTTCTTGACAACAATAGAGGCTCCAATGATGGTTTGGGCTGCTCAACAGCTATGGGCTTAATTCTGAGAACACTTGTTAATCTGCTTGTCTTTACAGTATGCGTTTTATTTATCATTGCATTCCCTGAGTTTGAACTGTTTCATTCTCTAATCTGTGTTGGTGAATATGTTTTTATGGTGACAGCTTTGTAAAGTCCTCTGAGATAACTATTGTTGTGATTTAGGGCTATAGAATAAATTGAATTGAAATGACAGCAGACAATGTGAGTGAAGTGTCCTGCCCAAGGTACAGCCGCGACCACCCTGTGGCACCTGGTGCTCCAGAAGGTCCAGCATCTTATACCAACTTGGTTCTGTCCTAAACATGCAGATGACACCAAATATTTAGTAGTCGTCTACATTAACTGTGACAGTGACAAAAAGTGAAAGTTTTGATTGTTTTTCATTTTTTGTTACTCCCGGTTGAAGTGTTTGTACGATAGAAATGTATAACTCCTCTCATATTTGTGGGACACCTTACACAATTAACTGCCAAAAACACATTTGCCTCACTGTACCACAGCCCCAGCCAATTGCAGCAAGGAAAATACTGTATTAATGTAAATCCACTATAGATAGGTTTGCCTTTTTACTATGACACTATGAGGATGTCCTTCACCTCCCACATGCACTCAAATTGTAAAAAGACTGTTGATTTGTATCAGTCCCTCATCCGCACATAGAGACGACACCGGTGACATCTCGTATAATGGAAACGGAGATTGTCAGCGGCCTATGAAGCCCTCAACACCTCTGCAAACAAACACGTTCTTTGTCAAAATAAAAAAGCATTGACAACATACATGCCTTGAAAT